AAAATTAAAATTTATAAATTTAAATTGAACATATTAAAATATATTTTGAGCTCAAATAGAATCTCCCCGCAAGGCTTACGCCATGCCATGTTGCTCGCTCCATTCCAAGTCGTCAAAATCAATGAACTCTCAATACTTTTTTTAGAAGAGTGGGCATCTTTGCTTTGCACTTCATCATTGAGGTACACCACCCCCATCCACTCAAGATTCCAAATTTATGGGCTCAACGCTCAACAATCAACAACCCTGGCTCTGCTCTGAGACTGTGCCACTATGGTTAGGGATGGGTGTGTCAAAGAATTTCTAATTTGTTCTTCGTTCGTCGGATTGATAAATTAAAAAAAATCAATTAGTATCTGTTTATCAATTTGTCAGATGTGAATTGAACGGATTAACAGATTGATAGATAGATACGAATCGGTTTGACGGTTTAAAATTTTATAAATTTTTAAGATAATTCAACTTGTGCACTTCTTAAAAAAAAGAATATTACAATCAATGACTTAAAAATATATTACAATCACTACACGTCGCATTCAAAGAAAGAAAGTTTGAAACTTTAAAATATTACAGTCACTGCATGCCTCATCTACATATTACAATCACAGCATGCCTTATCTATATAATGTATTACAATATTAGGTTCTTAAAATATAAAAACAATTCAAACTTCAAAACCATGAACAGAACAGTAGTAGAGATTGTATGCCTATGTATTGTTACATCTATATCTATTTTTGAAAATAAAAACCAACAACATATATCATATTTTTTATTTATTATTTTTAAAGTTAGATTTAAAAATAAAAAAAATATAGATAAATAACACATTTAGTTTTTTCAATTCAAAAAATATACTCAGGTTGAAAACTTTTTTTCAGCAGAATATATTTAACAGAATATTTAAATTCTTTTTCAATTGAAAATAAAAACAGAATATCTACATAAATTGAAAACACAAAATCTTACAAATTGACATTTTGGTTGCGGTCAAATTAATCTCAAATGTGCCATCCGTCCAAAACTAGGTGGATTGAAAAAAATCAATCCATAACTGTCTGTTCGTCATCACGTATCCATTCAAAATGTAACAGATCAATTCAGTTCGATCAATTTGAATGGACCAATACATCCGCTCCTTGCAAGCTTATTTCTGATTCTATAGGTCCTATTGGCGCTGTTTGGAAAGTGGCTAAAGAGGCTATTATAGCCTAAAATGAAAATTTAGCTAAAAAGCCCACTGTTGCAAGCTTTTTCAAAAAAAAAAAAAAAAAAAAAAAAGTTGCACAGCCGGCTACACTGCCAGTTACAGAAATTGTTTCATCAATGAGTAAATTACGATTTTACCCCTTGACAGCAATTTAAAAAAATATATTTTTAGGGACAAATTTGTCATTCTAATTTCAAATATCATTTTAACACATTTTTCAATACAATAACTCAAATAAAATCTATCTCATCTTTCCAAACACAAAAATCAAAATAGCCTATTAAAATAATCTACTAAAATAACCAAAAAGTCAAATAATCTACTAAAATAGTCACTTCCCAAAACGAGGCCATTAGAAAGCTTTGTAATTTTCTGCAAATCCTGGGACTATTTAATGGAGTACTAATAGGATGACAAGCTCTTTCAAGAAAAACTAGGATATAGGTAGTGAGTTGTCTTCAGTAAAAAATAATTTCAAGTTAATATTTTTTACCTGTCTAGACTAGACAATCAGAAGTATTAAAACAGGTTTTTTATTTATTATTATTTTTTTTAAGTTTCACTAAAAACAAAAAATAAATAAATTAATAAATGAAAATTTAAAAGCGTCTAGTCTAGACGGAGTAAAACAAAAATCTGACTCAGTTGAAAATTCATAATAAAAAAAAATTAAAAATAAATAAAATAAAAAAAACTTATAAGCTCTAATCAAAGGAATTGCCGCTTCAAATGAAGAAGGAAGACAACAGGAGTAAATCAAATGGAATTGCATTTGAACAAATATTGAAGCCATGTGGAGACAAAAATCTAGAGAACATGTGTATATTATTGACACCATTGAATGAGGGTTATACACTTCTACTGGGATAAAAACTCTAATGCATAACATAACTCATTATTATTATTTTGTATTGTTTGATTCCTGCTTTGGTCTATCTTCTTCTAAAAAGATCCCTCCTAAACTTTCAACAGAGACGCAAAAATACCAGGAAACAGAATATATATATATATCTATTCCCAGCTTTATCCAACTCCATATCCACTGGGTGTTTCTGCAAGACCACCTGCCAATTGCAGGGAATGGAAGAACTCTGCTGCACAATTTAGTAGTCCGTACAGGTTGTACACGCGGAGGGTTTAGGCCCCCATTTGGTCCCAAAGAGTCATTTGAGTGGACAAATATAATAATTTGACACACTACGCGTTTTTTTAATTAAGTGCTGCTTATCAGTGATTGCATTCAGCATAATAGATTGTTTGGTGGTGAGGGTCCGGGAACTATACTACCCAGCAGTGGTGGAGCCAGAAAATTAAATTAAAATAGACACTTATTAATTACAATATCGAAAATTTTTACAAAAATATTTCACGCAAGTTTTTACGATTAATTTCGAGAAATATCAAAAAAATAATATTATTTATAACTAGTGTATCATGAACAATATAAAAAAATATGTATATATGTCTTAAAATAAATTATAGGGTAAATTACAAATACACTCACTGAGATTTGATTAAAATACGAATCGCCCTCTATGATTTTGAAAATTACATTCCACCCTCTGAGGTTTTTAATTTCATAACAAATCACTTCTTTTATTAATGAATCATCAAGTCAATTAATAGTTTTTAATGATATTAGAAATATGTTTCAATTAATAATTTAGGTAATTTTATTATTGTATAGAAGAGCAATTATGAATTTCATTTTTTTAGTTAATTTTGTTAAATAAAAAATACTAACAAAGAGATATTTGTAATTTTCCAAACCACAGGGACAATTTGTATTTTAAGCAAATCTCATGGAGTGTATTTGTAATTTATCCTAAATTATATAATGATAAATTATTTTTTTTATATAAAATTTGATTAAAAATTCAATATAATGGTAATACCACATCATCATTAGTTTATAATATCACCAACTAATAGTAAATAAGCGCATAGAGAGTGAACCTCATATGTCAAATGTAACTAACAATCCAATAAATTTCATATTTTTATATCAAGATTATTTACATTTGCATGTCAATAATAATGACATCACCGTTACATTCAAAATTTTTCATAAAATTTTCATAAATAATATGATTTATAATAATCTCTTCATTTTTAAATAAAACAACCATAATTGTTCTCATAATTTTTAAAGTGTTATTGATATTTCTCTCTAATAATATTTTTTGTAATTTTTTTTTATTTAAAATATTTTCTTCATATTTGTTAAAAAAAAAAATCCTAAAATCCTAAAATCCAAGGGGGGCACGTGACCCCCCTGGTCCCTAAGTCCCTCCGCCAATTTTAAAAGGTTTTTTTGAGACTCGCCTCGATATTCGTCTCGCCTTGAGATTAAGGTAAAACGCATCAAAACTTTAATTTTTAGGCATTACTCCCCAAAGGCTTCCGCATCACAATTTGAGACATGCGCCTTAAATGTGCTTTGTACGTTTTTTGCGCATAAGCCTGTGACGAGTATGCACATGCAGAAGTTACCTTGGGCTTTTGTTAAACGTCTATTAGATTGTTTAAACATAAAAAAAAATAAAAAGAATCCTTTTTTGTAAGTATATTCTATAGGAAAAATTAAGTAAATGATCAATCAAGAAAAAACACAGTTAACAGTTAAATAAGAAGCTCAATCACTAAAGTCGAGAATATCAATTTCACTTTCAGTGAAAGAAAACTTTCCTTCTATGCAATAAAATGTTCAAAGCCTTAAGGAAAAAAGTATTTACACCTTTATATTTAATTGTTTTTATTTATTTTTTACTATTTTAGAATATTTAATTTATTCACTAAATATTAAAATTTGAATTTTGAAATGTATCTCTCAATGCCCTAAGGCTTAGGCCTCATCTCATGCGACTCGAGGTAAGCATTCACCTTCAAAAACTTTGATACTATTCAATGTGTATGTGTTATAAATGTGTGTTTCATACCCAAGTGACTTTTTGTAGAGAAAAAGGCATTTGGCTATGGAAAACTTAATTCGATTGTGTGCGACCACCATCAAACCCGACCTTTTCACCTTCCCGATTTGGTGAGTCCAAATAAAATGAGACCTCATTAGTTCAGGTCTAATTCTTGTTTTCTCTAATATGCCCGATCCTATTAGTTGATGACCAAAATTTACATAATGATTCGGGACCACTGAAAGATACTCTTGGTTTTGAGGGCACATGACTTTTTGTTTCCAAAATTCTCATCCCTCTGTCTGCAATGAGCATTCAGTTACATAATCGAGTTTCAAGTCGAGATTCTGATTTTTGGAGATTCTCGTCACATTATGCAATTGGAGAATATATTGGGATAGAGGATAGGGATTTTGGTAACAAAAATCCAGACCAGTTTTGAGGTCTACTTGCATCATAGTAAGGCCTGGACCAGGAAAAAGCAGGATGCTAGGAATAAACCTTGAAGAACCAAAAAAACGGAGGGTCAGATAGAATGAACTAGTAAGCAAACATAAGTAATATATGGATATGGACTTAGTGCAGCATGGGTCCTTGGCAAGGTCAAGCATGCAACATTCACTTACAGATTAAAATAGCCTCCAAAGTAAGTACTATTATAAACATGGGAGTTAAAGCAAAAACCAAGTGAGTTCAATAATAATGAAGATGAGACTGCACAGTGGCTTGGCCTTTGATTTGAAGCCTAACCAGGTAGCACTCAAAAAGGGTACATTACTTTTCCAAGAAAAGAAAGGAAATTTTCATGATCTCACATCAAGAGGACTTGATCCAACGAGAAAATGCAGTGATTAGGATCAAATGCAGTTTATTCAGAGGACTCAGAAACTGAAGTTATTCTCTCTACTATGGTTGGTCTTGGTGGGGTATAAACATAAAGCTTCTTTATGCAAAGATATGCTCTCTCTCTCTCTCTCTCAAAGTACAACATTGCATGAATATGAACTTCCTTTTTTCTTCATCATCACTGCTATTACTACTACTGCACCCAATGATCCCCTCAATCATGCCATTTATAAACTTCTTCCCTTCCTCACCTCCTCTGCAACAACCAACATAACTGCCTCTGCCTCTCTCTCTCTCTCTCTCTCTCCCCCCTTCCCATGGCTTTTCATTATAGTTTCTTTCTTATTTTGCTATTACTCTCTCTATCTACCACTTCTCATTCCACTGTAACTAACCAGTCTCAGTTCTTCACTCTCATGAAGAACTCTCTCAGAGGCAACCCCTTGTCTGATTGGGATGTCACCACACCAAAACCCTTCTGCAACTACGCCGGAATCAGCTGCAACGAACATGGGTTTGTTGTGAAGATCGATTTCTCCGGTTGGTCACTCTCTGGCCGCTTCCCGGAAGATGTGTGCTCTTACATCCCGGAGCTACGTATTCTTCGCCTCGGCTACAACGACCTCCATGGAAATTTTCCTCAAAGCATCAGCAACTGCTCTCTCTTAGAAGAACTAAACATGAGCTATGCATACCTCACTGGAACACTGCCAGACTTTTCGTCCATGGCTGCTCTCCGGTCACTTGACCTCTCCTATAATCTCTTCACTGGTGATTTCCCAGTTTCCATCACTAACCTCACCAATCTCGAGAAGCTGAACTTCAATGAAAATGTTGGTTTCAAGGTCTGGCAATTGCCTGAGAATATTTCCAGGCTAACAAAGCTCAAATCTATGGTCCTGACGACGTGCATGGTTCGTGGTTTGATCCCAGCGTCGATCGGAAACATGACATCGCTCGTTGATCTTGAATTGAGCGGGAATTATCTTGTGGGTCAGATTCCGGTGGAGGTTGGGTTGCTGGAAAACTTACAACAACTTGAGCTTTACTACAATGGGCTTAGTGGTGCAATACCTGAGGAGCTTGGAAATCTCTCAAAGCTTGTAGATTGGGACATGTCTGTGAACAAGTTAACCGGAAAAATCCCGGAATCCATTTGCCGCCTCCCAAAGCTCAAAGTCTTGCAGCTTTACAACAACAGCCTCACCGGAGAAATCCCTGAAGCAATGGCAAACTCAACCACCCTGACGACGTTATCGGTTTATGACAACATGTTGACCGGAGAAGTTCCGCGAGGTTTAGGGGGATCATCACCCATGATTGTCTTGGAGTTGTCGGAAAATCGATTTTCTGGAGAGTTACCCGCCATGGCCTGCAATGGAGGTAAATTGCTGTACTTTCTTGTCCTGGAAAATATGTTTTCCGGGAAAGTTCCTGAAAGTTATGCAAGCTGCAGATCTCTCCTCCGGTTTCGAGTTAGTTATAACCAGTTAGAGGGATCAATCCCAGAAGGCCTTCTTGCTCTTCCCCGTGTTTCAATTGTTGATTTGGGTTACAATCGATTGAATGGTTCGATTGCGAATACAATTGGCAATGCTAAAAACTTGTCAGAATTGTTCATACAGAGCAATAGGATTTCAGGTGTTCTACCACCAGAAATCTCTCAAGCGGTCAATTTAGTGAAGATTGACCTCAGCAACAATCTCATGTCTGGTCCAATACCTTCTGAAATTGGCAACCTGAGAAGGCTCAATTCATTGATGTTGCAAGGTAACAAGTTCAATTCTTCAATCCCCGATTCACTTTCTTCACTAAAATCGCTCAATGTCCTTGATCTATCCAACAATCTCTTGATGGGAAACATCCCAGAGAGTCTCTGTGAATTGCTACCAAACTCAATGAACTTCTCAGACAATCTGCTTTCCGGTCCTATCCCTCTCTCATTTATAAAGGGTGGTTTAGTAGAAAGTTTTTCAGGCAATCCCGGTCTCTGTGTTCCAGTCAACCTTAATCCCTCAGGTACAAATCTACCCATCTGTTCGCAATCTTATAAACAAAAGAAAACCAACAGTATATGGGTGATAGGGGTTTCGGTGGGGATTGTGGTTGTTGGAATCATTTTGTTTCTAAAACGTTGGTTTAGTAGCCAACATCCCACGATGGAAAATGATGAGACCTTGTCATCCTCCTTTTTCTCCTATGATGTAAAAAGCTTTCATAGAATAAGTTTTGATCAACGCCAAATCGTGGAAGCCATGGTTGACAAGAACATAGTGGGGCACGGGGGGTCTGGGACAGTGTACAGAATTGAGTTGAGCAATGGAGATGTGGTTGCTGTGAAGAAGCTGTGGAGTCTCAAAACAAAAGATTCTGCTTCAGAGGATCAACTTTTTGTCGCCAACGAGTTGAAAACAGAGGTCGATACTCTAGGAAGCATAAGGCACAAGAATATTGTGAAGTTGTATTGTTATTTCTCTAGCTTGGATTGCAACTTATTAGTTTATGAGTACATGCCCAATGGAAACCTTTGGGATGCACTTCACAAAGGAAAAATCCTTTTGGATTGGGCTATTCGTCATCAGATTGCGCTAGGGATCGCTCAGGGATTAGCCTATCTCCATCATGATCTCAAGCCATCAATCATTCACAGAGACATCAAATCAACCAACATTCTGTTGGATATCAACTACCAGCCCAAGGTCGCAGACTTTGGCATAGCCAAAGTTTTGCAAGCAAGAGGAGGGAAAGATTCCACCACTACTGTCATTGCCGGGACTTATGGGTACTTAGCTCCAGGTAATTTAATAAAAACCAACTCATTTCTAATTCGATTACATATTTACACATATATACACCTATGACACAAGGTTGGAAATATTTTGTTATATCTACGAATTGTTTGCTGATGTGCCTTTAGGCTGTATTGAAAAATTAATTATTTTTTGTGAACATTATATAATGCAATTTTGTTTATTTATCAAAAAATTATATAATGCAATTTTGTTATGCTTTCATCAGCTTAATAATTCATCATTTTCATTGATGATTGTGACAGAATATGCATATTCTTCCAAGGCAACGACCAAGTGTGATGTCTATAGTTTTGGAGTCGTATTGATGGAACTAGTTACTGGAAGGAAGCCCGTGGAGGCAGAGTTTGGAGAGAACAAGAATATCATATATTGGGTTTCAAGCAAAGTGGAGACCAAGGAAGGGGCCATGGAAGTTTTAGACAAACAAATATCCAGGTTGTTCAAGGACGAGATGATTAATGTGCTCAAGATTGCTATTCGCTGTACGTTTAAGGCACCGGGCCAGCGACCAACTATGAACGAGGTTGTTCAGTTGCTGATTGAGGCAGACCCGTGCAGATTTGATACTTGCAAGTCATCAACCAAAACCAAAGAAACAGAAAATCTCACTAAGACAACTAATCCATATGATTTATGATTGTAGGAGAGGTTTTGGTGGGGTTTAAGGCAGAGTCTTATAGCATCTACAGAACAATACTAGTTTTTTTTTTGGTCCTCCTTGGCCTATTGTAAAGTATTTGAGGAGATTAAACAATATAATAACTGCTTTATGGCAACGCATGGCATCTGTATTTTTCATAGACCCACAAACCAAATAATTCTCTGGCTTTTCTGAATTCTGTTTTTTTCCCTCTTTATAATATATTATTCTCTTTATTTCTTGAGTGTGATCCAAAGAAAAGGAGGTTCCAAGAAAAGGCAGTGATGTTGGTGGAGCGTTGTGATTCACATGAGACTTCTTTTTGATCCAAGTGGGTTTCTGATTCTGAATTTTAAAATGGAGTATGATTGTATGATTTGTTTGTGGAGGATGAGCATCTTTGTCTCCATTTCAGCTAGGGACAATGGACAAGGCATAAGCCTTTTCTTTTGCTTTTCCCTGTTCCTCCTTTTCCATAGCAAGTTTGATTGGTTTGATTGAATGAATGAAGTAACAAGGATGACAAAAAAAAAAAAAAAAAAGCACCAAGCTTGTTTCACAGTAGATAGTGTGCAATGAACCACCACTCCACTTACTACTCGAATGCTCTTTGTTTATGTAAGATCATATGGTTGGATTCAATCACCAACATTCCCCTCCCCTCCCCTTAGACCAGGCTAGAGTAGTAATTTTTCTAATAAATAAATAAAAAACAAAAAGAATAGGATTCTTCTATAAGTATGACTAGCACAACTTCTATGTATTCCCCAAATAGTTTTGAACCATTATAATAGGCAGGTGATGTTTAGGGTTACAAACAAATCAAGTCAAGCTTTGCACGGTTCAAGCTCAACTTGTTTGTTTATTGAGCTCGAAAATTAAGATTGAGCTTGGCTCGAATATTAATTAATGCTTGAGCTTAGCTTGTTTATTAGATGAACCTAAAAATCTGGCTCAGGCTCGTTTATATAGGAAACAAGCCAAGCTGAGCTGAACCCTCACCAAATCAGAGTCGAGCCGAGCTTTTGAACAACTCAGTTCATTTGCAGCTCTAATCATATAATAAACAACTGAACTCAACTACTTAATTCATCAAGCAGCAAGTATGCAAATCATTTTCAGGATCATATTCATAGACAAGCATAAAACAAGACCAACACATGGACATGTTTGTTTGTATGATTGTATGCAAAAATGAGTGCATACCTTTGCATGTATGAGTTCCAACTTTGTAAGTGGTGAGCTGGGGTCCTCCTGAGAGAATAAGATTCATTGAGACAAATATTTCTTTTGGCATGGTGGAGACTCCATATAAGAAAAAGTAATTCAACCAAAAAAAGACAGACTAACCAAGAAAGCTTAGCTATAGCAAGTACTCATGCAGGACTGATATGCCCTCCCCAAATGCACAATCACCCAAAACAATTATCAATCTTTTAAATTGGCTTTCATTCTTTCCACCAATGAATCAGTGAAAAAATAAAAGTATCTATGATAACTATCGATGAATTACACAACCCTGGCAACTATTACCTTTTTGTTTATGAAAGGTAAAGAATTCTCTGAAGTGTACCCAGATGGTGTTGTTGGAGCCATGGGGTCCATCACAGATCTCACTCTACCAAACTGAACCGCGAAGTTCTGTGTGTAAATTATCAATGAAAAAAATTAAATTGACCCATGGTCGGCCCCACTGACTCCAACAAAAACAATAAAAATAAGGTTATGAAATCCATAACTCATTTGTCTAGTCCAAATTCAACCCAAAAATCCAAATTATACATTTTTTCCAAGTATTTTTATGTGTACTGATTCTTGTCCGTTGCATTGCTATTACAAAGAGGGAAAATCTTACGGTGTGCGTACCATATGCACCTTACCATAAAAATGTATAACTTGACCATAAAATTTTATAATATCAACAATAAAATGTGCAATCTCGACATAAATTGATGCAACAAAATGTCTAAAATTTTGTAGTTGATGTTGCAAAAGTTTGTGACTTGATTATGATATTTTTTATTGCGTCAATTTGTAACGAGATTACGCAGATATATTCTTATACCATACAAGATTGCCAATATTATTGCAGCATTACTGCTTGATGAAATGACAATTTAACATTAAAATACTAATTATGGGCTAAAGTAACATTGACATTGTGGAAGGAAATTGATATAATAAACACACGATGAGGGACAATAATTACTGACCAGGCAAATATTGCACTGAATGAAAGACAAACATGTCTTGCAAGGTCTTTGTGGATGAATGCAATGAGTACGCATTTAGGCATTTCTACAAGCAGGTTGTGTGGGCTCTGCGAAACACTAAAATATAGAAACACAGAGATCAAGAAATACTCGCCGAACATAAAAATCATATTGAATTTTGATACATAAAACTGATAATTTTGTAATTATAAACCTGATAAATCTTGAATTTCCAACCAATAAATATGAATAAAAGTTGACCTTCAAAATATTGGATTTGGGGTAATCAAAGCATGAAAACGAGTGATTGAGAGGAAGCAACTCCACAAAGGTAGAGCAATTGAAAGTGATCTAGTTGGAACATTTTAGAACTGTTAATTTATCTATATACTAGCGTATACCCGTGCATAAAGGCGCGGTGTAGATAATATTAAGATTAAAATGCAGTTATAATTTATATGTATTATGTTGAAATTTGTGAAATTTGTGTCATTTTTTGATAAAGATACTGAAAAAATATATTGAAATATTTTTCTTTGTAAAGAACTTGAGAACATTGAGAACCTAAAAACACGGTGTAAATAATGTTTCATTTGAATAATTTTCATTTATCATTCTCTCTTAAGCTAGGAACATTGAGAACCTAAAATTTTGTTTTCCCATGACATATAAAAAATAAATAGATAACATACATTTTAGCAAGAGGATCCCTTTTAAACATAACCTCAAAATAAGAGGAACAACAAAATGGTGTTCTCCCTTTGGAGTACACCATGCCAATACAAAAATGATATTTTTGATTAAAATCTAAATAACAAACACCTCCAAATGTCTACCTCTTAAACCAAACCAAATCTACATAAGTTTAAACAACATCAATCTGCCTCTAAATAATCTTTAACTTTATACAGCGTCAATCATTTTCAAAGTTTGTCAACGATGAAACCAAAAATAGTGTAAATCCTATACTCGAGATTGCCACTCTTTCAACACTCATCAATCAAAGAAGAACACGTTTAGTATACACAATACAAAATCATTAGAGAGAGTAAGAAAAACTTAATCTTAAAAAAATGTAGACCTATAAAAAGGGAATCAATATTACCATTCACATCTAGTCTTCATCTACCTGTAAAATACAGAAAAAAACCAATATGATAATTAAAAGAGACTACCCAATTCAAAACAAACACATGCATTGTCACACTAATGAAAGGTTTATTTATAGACCACACAATTCAAACTAAACACAAACATTGTTGCAAAATAATAATTGGTTACCCAATACAAACACTACGAACAAACACAACACATTGTCAACATAGATACAAATTAATGACAGATAAAAACATTAATTTACACAAATCAATCAATATTTTCTTTGGGGTTTATTTTTTTTTCAATTCTTTCTTTTTGGAACTTCCTTTAATTGATCACATAAGGTTAGAAAGAAAATTTAAGAAAGAAGTGTTCTTAAGAAAGAATTTAAAAAAATAAAATTCAGAAAGCAAACTCTTCGCTTGGTAATTCAATAACAAACTCTAACTAACTTAATTCCCCCATCATTTACAAATCAATACAGCCTAAAAGACCCCATTTATTTTGTCCAAAAACCCAAAGCCACTTATTATATCAGTTTAGTCCCGTCAGTTTTGTATATGTAACCACCCTCCATCACCTTCTTCAATTTTCACCTATACCCATCCAGATTCATTTTGCTTCCAACCTTAAATATATTTTGAATATTTGTTATTGACATGATCATAAGTAAAACTCAAAACTCAAATAAAATAACAATTCCCCCAGCCTTAATACAAATTAAGAAACAATATAAGATTTATAATGTTCACTAATATTGCAAATCAAAATATCAGAATAAGTAAAAAAAATTGTAAACATAAAGTTAAGAAAAAGAAAATCAATAAAATCTGACAACTTTAGAGTTGGGCAACTATGCATATCATCACACATGGTTAGAACAAATAATTAATTGAATAGATTCGAAACAGAATTGGTAAATAACCTTGCTGCAATTCAAACCCCAATTCAAACACATGTATAATGGCATTGTTGTAGGATTCAATCATGATGCATATACCCACAAACCTAATAATCTCCCAACCCAAATCTTCCAAACCCACACTGCTCTAAACACATAAAAGTGACAAACCAACAAATGAGAAAACATGACATACACAATATTCAATGATCAATAAAACCATTCAAAATTACAAACCTTACAAACCCACACTCCTCTCTCTTTTTTTCTTTTTTTTTTTATATATATCTGCATATAGTATATAAACCCATGTTGGAAGTAGAATTACCTGCAAAAGATGAGGCTGTTGTGGGAAGAACACTGCTTGATGCATATACCCAGATAGACATCTTCGAACAAACCTATATAACAAAAATGTATATTTTTTGACACACACACACACACATATTTATTTGTGTAAATCAACAAAAATCACCTAAGATACGAAACTGAAAACTAAGAAACGATAAGGAAATTACTTACACTTGAATAGAGAGAGAGAGAGAGAGAGCACGATTAATGCACATACATATGTAAATAGTATTAAAATTCACACCAGATGAATGCACGCACATATGTAAACCAAAGCCCCTCACATTAAAAAAAATGCCTTCTTTTTTTTTGTGTGGTCCTTTTCAGGAAATCCCAATGGCTAGAAACTGAAGAACAAACCGAGTGCAAATCAATCAATCAAACCAAATTAAACTCAATAGTTCCAACAAAACCCATGTTGAGAAGAAGTCATATGAAATTGTGGTTTAGAAGACAAATATAAAACGGGTACTTGGAATGGACGCATTTGATGGAGAAAATGAAAATCGAAAGAAAAGGTGTTACCTTACATTCAGATAAGTAAGTATAAAAACAAATAATAAATAAATTAAT